TGTTACAAGTCTAGCAGTAGATCCTAATGGAATCTATTTGATGTCTGGAAGTAAGTTTGAACTTTGTACCACCCATAAACTTTCAAAAAGGATCATTACTCAGTAATAAGCATTACTTGTCTTCTTTTTACAGGCCATGACTGTTCAATTAGATTATGGAATTTAGACAGCAAGACATGTGTGCAAGAAATAACAGCTCATAGAAAGAAATTGGACGAATCAATTTATGATGTTGCTTTCCATCCATCAAAAGCATATATTGCCAGTGCAGGAGCTGATGCCCTTGCCAAAGTATTTGTGTGAATCAACAGAAGCTCTCATCATGAGAAAAGATTTGCTTGAACAAAAGGAGGGTCTGCATCACTGCCATCAAAAAGGTTACTGGATATGACACTACATGTGATTTGCCTAGTGAAGACATTTGGGGCAGGCATAAATTAGTGGAAACCACATCTTAATGTTAGGGTCATTGACTTAACTGTAATTACTGTACTTTGTGGGACAGAAAAAAAAGGACTCCAGTAATTCTACTGGATATGAACTGAGCATATGTTTGGTTTCTTTTTTAGGTGTATTTAAGCCAATGTGGAGTCTGATCTTACAAAGACTGTTTTTTGGGTTTTTTTTGGGACTCTGTGTGCTGCCTTAGGGTAGGAATGTGGTGCTCTTGATGGGGGAAAGTGAGCTCCAAGAGTAGCTTTTTTTTCATCTCTTAGTAATCTTACGTTTATCAGTTGAATGCCACAGATTCCCCTTTAAATTTATTTTGCTTTAAAAAAAAAAAAGAAAAGAATTTAACTTAAAATATTTTAGCATTAGTTGCACAAAATGTTTGGATAAAATTCTAGTTTTTATAAGTCTTTTTATATATTTAGCCTGTCACAACAGTGCTCAAGATTGTATTGAAGTTTTTCTGCATTATTCAGCCCTAAACCACAGAGATCTCACTGTCCAGCTGCCCATAACCACTTTCTTTTCTTCTTTTGCCTAATACAGCTCAGTTAAGTCCTTCATAAAGATGCTAAATCACCTTCATCATCACATAGATGTCTTCATGAATCAAGGACTGTTAAATGTATTAAAATGAAATAGTGGGGTTTAGTACTCCAAATGAACTCTTAAAAAAACTAATCTTGGCATCCTATCACTATGTGATATTTTGTACATCTTACTGTATTTACAAGTTTATTTATCAAGGATTATCCATCTTGCTAATGGCCTATTATTTATTTCACTTTTTGTTGGTCTTTATATCCTTTTATTAATGTGCTAAAGAAACCTGTATATCTATTTTGGGATTCTTTGAATAGTCTAAAATAGACTAAAAATGGAATATTTTATAGTTTAAGTTACAAATCCAAGATGTCCCCTCCCCAAGATACTTATCTTGGTTTACCATGATTCCAAAAAAATGTTTTGTTTAAAAATATTTGGAGTAAAATTTTATTTACATTGCAACTAGGGTACAAAAATAGTTGATCAGAATACAGAATCTGCTGTGTTTGGACTAGTTTTCCCTGTTTTATTTTTTTAGATGTGCTTAATTTCATGGTGTAACTAAAGATTTTGTTTGTGTAATGCATGATTAAGAAATAAAGTATTTTTTCTAGTCTTCCAAAAACTTTTCTGATCAGTTTGCGAGTTTTGATGAGTTTTGTAAGGTTTTTGTTTTACAAACTATGAATCAGCCAATTTTTAAGATTGTACCACAATGCAAAAATTACAGCTGTTGAAAAATAATGTATATAAAATGCATATAATAAATACTAAATTGTGTACCTGTATGTTACTGTTGGCTACATCATTTTATGTTGAATAATAAAGTGCAATATTCTCCATAATTAAACTAGGACAAGGAGATGGTTTCTTATTCCTTCATTTTTATGCTTTTTAAAAAATACTTTCTACTGCTTGTTGGTAGTCTAGTAAAGCTACAACAGTCACAGTATTAAAAGCATCTTTTTGAAGTATTTCACCCCACTGAGCAAGATTTTTAAAATTACTGAAATATGTTAGACCATTGAGTAATTTTTTAAGATGCATTTTAACTTGCTTTGATGTCATTACTTCATTAAATCTAAATTTTAGTTAATGATATTATCCTATCTAGCCATACCTATTTCCATAAAAACATTCATCAAAGAATAAACTAATATTATACGTTAGAAGTTGTCCTTACAAATGTTATTATCTTAAAACCTTTTTCTTTTAACAGGTAATATCCTTTTTCTTTGAAGACAGTTGCAAATGCAATTAGAAGAGGGGCACTGGAAAACTTGGATAAAAATTGTATTTGAGGGCCGGGGAGATGGCTCAGTGGAATAATAAGCACTTCCCTGGCAAGCGCAAGGGTCTGAGTTCAATCCCTGGTTCTGCAAAAAACCCAAAAAATTGTATTTGAATTTCTGCTGCAAAAATTAAATGATTCTGTGTAATTGAGATGGATGGCAATTCTAGTTATACCTGGTGAAACATTAACTTTTTAAAACTTTAAATTTTTTTATTTTTATTTTTATTTAGTACAGGTCTACAGACCTGTACAGAATCACTGTAGTGATTCTTGTTTTCAGCCTCCCAAGCGCTGGGATTACAGGCGTGCCACCATGCCCAGCCTTAATCGCTGAGGGTGGGGCTGGCAAGGCATGCCAAGAATAGAACCCCAGTTCCTGTGTCTGCCTAAGCAGGTGCTTTAAACTGCTGAGCTATCTGGCCAGCCCTAAAGAAAAATCTTTGCTAGCAGATTGTTTGCCTTAATAGAGCGTTTCACTGTGCAGTTCAGGCTGGCCTTGAACTCCCTTTGCATTCCAGGCTGACCTCAAACTTGCAGAAATCTTGCCTCAGCCTCCCAAATGCTGGGATTATAGGGATGTACCACCATACCTGGACAGTTGTTTTCTGAACAGAATATTCTAATGAGCAAAGTGAAGAGGTGTATTCCCCCATCACCCACTTTTCCAATTCTAGTATTTCTGGCAGCTGTTCTAATCCATTGCACTATTTGGTGATGGTAATTTGGTTATTGTAATGCAAAAGTATTCATCTCTTTTGGAATATATTAAAACTAGTGAAGAAAAATGTGTATTTGTACAATGGATTTTATATGTATGGTTTTCTCTTACCTAAATAGGTTGAATTTTTCTTTATAAATATTTGGAATAGTCTATAAAGGATCCAAAAAGAATGTCTTGTCATTTAATGTGCTTGTATTTGTGATGAAAAATAATGTAGATTAAGTTGGAGGACCTTTTTGTATGTGTGTGTGGGGTACTGGGACTTAAACTCAGGACTTCATACTTGCCAGGTAGGTGCTGTGCCACTGAGTTATATCCCTGGCAGTTGAAGGATTTTATACATAAGATTTAAGGATATTAGATCTTAATAATCGTAATACGTTGGCTTTTTCTGAAAGTGTAAGATTCTGTTTTTGTTTTTTTTTGTTACAGTCTCACTATAGTTTAGGTTGGAATGAAATCACTATGTAGCCCAACCTGGCCTTGAACTCCTCAGCCCTCCTGACTCAGCTTCCCGAGTACTGGGATCACAGACATATATCACCATGTCTGGCTTTATATTTTTATTACCAAACTGTTACCTACTGAAAACTAGCATCACATTTAATGTGTTAAAATTATAAAAAGAGCTAGTATATTGGAAATTTAGGCATGTCCATTACAGTTTCTGTAATTCATATTTTTAAAAATCTTTATCTCCTTTTGTTAACCCTTTATCCTGTCTCACAGAAAACTGACAACTTGAAGTTGACTTTTGTTCTTACTCCTGTAAAAATCAATGAAAGTATTAGCTTTAGATTCTCCAGGCTTTCAAGGTTTTATTAGTGTTTGCTGCCAGTTATTCAGCACTTGAGACAGGCAGGAGAAATGCCACAAGTTTGAGGCCAGTCTGAGCTACATGGCAAGATCCCGATCTTCTAAATAAAGTTTATTTTGATATTCCTGGCTGAGAATTTGAGATGTGTATACCTGCGGGGAGGGCGTTGCCTTTTTTTATTAATGGGAAGGAGGGAAGTTACTACCTTCATTGTCCTTTCATCAATTTTTTTGTACTATCAAAAGGGTAAAGTTCGTCTCCTCTTGTGTATATCATTTTATTCTCTTTACGTGGACAATGTAACTGTTAGACTGAAAAGATTTACTGGAGTATTCTAACTAATAACCATTTTCAGGTTAACTGTCGTGTTGTAGTTCTAATTAGGAGTGTGTCTGATGTGAAGTGGGGTTCAGAGGTGGATGAAGGAAGGGACAACCTGTTTGTATAGAAGATAGGCAATATGTGGCAATAGAGCACCTCTGTGGGGAGAGGCCCTCTGAGTATACATTAAGATAGTTTGGGTGCTCCACGTAGACACGAATTCAAACACACTGATGTAAGATAGTTTCAAAACATTTCTCCTAAAGCAAATACTCAAGAGCACATCGTAGCAATGCTTGGTAGTGTCTGCATGTACTGCCTAAAAACAGGTATTCAGTAAATAAAGAAAAATGTATTATTGTATGATTCGAGAAAAGCAATGTAGATTGATCTACACCTTAAAAATACAAAATTTTTATAGCCTGCAGAGAAATGTGCAAGAATAAAAGGCAATTTAAAGTCACTAGCAGTTTTATTGTTTATTGAAACCTCAGTATTTTTTCCCTATAATGGTATGAATCTCTTCAAAAACCTTGCTACCTCAGGTCTTAGGTGACTCCAGCTATAAGTCAATACAGTATATCTATACACATAAAAAATTAAGGATTTAAATAGAAAAATACCTGGCAATCACATCTTGTATGTTTTTCTTTGCAAGTTATGAAAGTACTCAAATATGATGCTCATTTCTTTTCCACATAGTTTATGAATTATAGTTTTTAGTGTGTAAATTAACACCTATCTACTCTTGATTGGTTTTAAGAAAACATTCACTTGGGTCACAATATTTGTACTTGAACTTTGCTACTTACGTAGTCGATATAATGATTAGAGAAAGAGTGTTGCTTTTTGTCTAAGTGTCAGATTCTTTTATTGAGCTATGGCATCTGCATATCTATACATTTAATAGGCATGTTAGAGAACTTTTAAGGTTTTGATATCCATGATACCTCCTCTTTCCTGAATTTCTAAGGGCTATAGTTATGAAGCCTCAGTCAAAAATCTAAGTTGTAATTATAAGGTAGTAAACTTTAAAAGAATGTTTATTTGCTTAAAGTAGCTGTTAACATGTTTAATGTATCTGATCCTATTATGCTATAGTATTTCAGTATAAGAATACAATTTATACAGTATATCTCCTTGCACTTTTTTGTTTAGTTACCCAAATTCCACCCTTACTGTTGGGATTCTAAGAAATCTCTACAGATGCCTCTAATGATGTCAGAAACAATTGGTTCTAATCCCGTGAACTCTCTTGTGAAGAATGCATGTGACTCCTTTGGTTTAGAGGCCATATCTTTCAGGTCATCCAGAGGTGCCCAAGCCACACCTACAGAGAAAATGGTGATACCTACAATAGAAATATTTTAAAATGAATCAGAAACATCCAATTTATATATTTATACATATATTAATACACTGTTGCAGAGAAAACTGTCTAGTAAGCTAGGAATAGAAACAGTGTTAAACTTGACACACAGTATCCCTTCAGTAGAAATCCTACAGAAAAGATGGCTTAAAAAAAAAAAACCAAAAAAAGGAAAATCTCCCCTCTGAGGCTGGCATAAGAAAGGACATGAGCCCATGCAAATAAACACTGTTTAAGTCCTAAACAAACACTGAAAGGAGAGAGACACAAAAGGGTAAGTGGTGAAAGCTTTTGAAGGTTACACTGGGGAATGGTGTCTATAGTTTGCTGTGGATATTGTAGCATCTCTTACACTTCAGTGTTTATAGTTGCTTGGAACACTGTCAGTCAGAATTTGCTAGTCCTTAATCCTAAAGGACAAAGGGCTTTATATGAAGCTGGAAGAGTTTCAGTTTCATTGAGCCTTCATTTGCTTGTCCTTGAGTTACTGTAAGACTTGGTGCAGTTGCATGTTCTGGTTAGGACGACGGTTTCATCAGTTGGGTTCATACCCACTGCAGTTCACATCAGTCCTGACAGCAGTTCTTTGGGGAGACTACCATCTATCTTCTGCCAGGTGAAAATCCCCTTTATAGCTTAAAGGTTTCTGAAAAAGCTCTTCCCTGTTTGGAGTTTTATTCCTTTTCTAGTAGTATGCAATGCTCAGGTGATATAAAGCAGGTTTAGAGGATGTTAAGGCTGATCAAAACCATTTCTGATTGATCACTACCAGCCAATCACCCTTCCACCCCTACCACCTCCAGACCAAAAAAAGAAAAAAAAACCCTCTTAGTTGTACAGTTTGTTTAAAGTGTGAGCTGTACTTAAAAGCTCAATGTTTTTGAGCTTTTGTGACTTTAATTGAGATAATTTCATTAAATTTGTAGTGTAGTCCAGCCTCTTTAAATTTAGTCACTGGGCAAATGAATTTGAATTTAGTTTGCTTTAGTTGAAATATAATCCTGCTAGCCATAAACTAGTTCAGTTTGAGAGTGATGACAGATAACAGCTTCAACACAGTTCTAGTTGCTAATATGTTAAAAATTTATAAGTTGGATGTATTACTTAAATTGCCTGTAGCAGTTGCCTGCTGTACTTAAAAGTACACTGGTACCTTATGCTTTGGTTTGCAAAGTGTTCGTAATTTTATTTTTGTATGCACACTGCATTAGATGACAGATACAAACTTGGCCATCTTTTCTAAAATTGAACAAATTTAAGTTCACGAACCTAGTTATCAATTTCATAATTGTGATATGAGAGGTCCTGATGTGTAGAAATGAAACAGTGATTAAGAATTAGGTTTTGGAAAAGGAGATGACAGGAATATACAAGAATGCAAGGCTGTTGATTCTCTCCTTCCAAGTTACTGAGTTCTTTCCTCAGAAAGGGAATCTTTCTGCTGGCTTGTTTGATCTCAGCAACACATTATGCTAATGTATTTAACCAGCCCTTTCAAAAAGAAATTCTAAATTTGGGTTGAAGAAATTTTATACCCTTTTAGTACACGTGTGTATTATCTCAAGGAGAAAACGTTTTAGGAGTTCCAATGGGATAGGATTAAACTTTTATAGGATACTTTATCATTTTAGAATGCCAGACTAAAATCTAAAACAAATTAGGATAAATAATCAAATGGTTTTAGGTATAACTTGTTTGGGATAGATTTTCAAATTTGAGCCAAACACAAGCACCAGTAATTTAAATTCTCAACACTGATAGCTCTTACACTGCAATTCTAATAATCCAGTGGTTAGAGGAGTGTGGACTACAAAGCCAGAATGCCTTCAATCCTTGCCACTTGCTGTGTTATTCTGAGGAAGTCTGTTTGTTGGCACACTGAGATGAATAGGGCTGTTCTTCAGCTAATAGTGGGTAAAGCTCTTAGAAAACTATCACAGTGCACGTGTGTGTTCAGTAAAATAAGTGATTAACTCTGTATTTACTTAGCACTCAATAGAACCCCTTCTCAGTTCCATTCCCTTACAAAGCAAAAGCACCTCACCTGCATCATGTGCTGCAGCAGCAGGGCCTCGGACATCATCATAGGACTGCCCATCAGTGATGATCACCAGGAAGTTCTTGTTGGGACTGTCCCTCACGGGACCAAACACATTTCTAACAGTAAAGGAAATGGCATCACCAGTAGCTGTTCCTCCACTCATATAGCGGATGCTCCTAATGACAGCTAGGACGTTTTCTTTAGTGCTGTAGTCAGTGAAACTGAACTCTGTGCGCTGATCGTAAGTGAACTGCACAGCAGCTATCTTGGCACCAATGTCCGAGATTTCAAAAGTCTTGGCTATGTTGGAAACAAATTCAAGCATGAGGCGGAAATTACTATCTCCAACACTACTGGAGCCGTCAATTAGGAAGGCAATGTTCACTGAGTTGTAACAGGTCTTGCTGCACATCATTTGCTCATGGGAGCAGAGCTTCTGTACCAGAGGCTTTACGTATTTTGTGGTGCCAAACCAGTTGGGCATGTGGTAAGAGAAGAAGCCATTATTCCGACACACAGCCTAATGGGGGAAGACAAGAGTTAAAAGGATCAAAAAATGCCTCTTCTGAAGTTGTGAAAACATTACATTGTGAGTGTTCGAAGTTAATCTAGGTGAGGGCCAGTCAGCACAAGAGAGGTCCAAAATGAATCTACCACCATAACTGAAGATAGCCCTTCACCCCCTTACCTTATCAACAAATGCAACATCCTGAACCATCCCCAGCTCTTCAGGGATAGGCTTGGCCACAGAAACTATAAATACATTGACTCCAAACTCTCTGGCCACAATTCCTGCTTCCTCAATGTCATCAGAAGGCCAGCCATCAATAAATACAACTACCACTTTAGGGATTCCTTTTCTCATTCCAGTGTCTACTGTGAAGAATTTCTGAGCAGTGTGCTTCAAAGCTTTTCCTAGGTTTGAAATTGAAGTAAGCCAACATTTAACACTCTTAAATCACATTTGTTTCCCTGGAGCAATTTGACACTTAAGAATTTAACTTATATGGAACGTGAGTCTAAGATAGATACATCAGTAGGGAAAGTTTATCCTTTAGGCCTATTTTTTGTCCTCACAACCCACAGTTCCTCCACCGCCTCCCATTTGCTTAACCTAATGTCGGTCACCAGTCAAACAGAACTGAGCTGTACTCCCGTCATGGGCTCTCATAAGGACTCAGGAGTCTCAGCCACTTGTGCTACTCCAATTCTTTCTGCCACATCTGCATTCACTAGTCTGTTGATCCTTTCTGCTGGTTAGTGTTATAAACAAGTCTTTCCATGAAGTGATCTCTGGCCTGTCCCATGTAAAGATTATATATCACAATATCTTATTCTAAAAAAAGAATCAACTATCTCCTTGGTTATTTTCCATTATGAATTGAATATTTATCTCAGGTGGTCAAGTTCAGACCTAGCCATGATTTCAGCACCAGGAGGAAGAGCTTCACATTTGCTTATCCAAAATGACGTAATACTGTTTTACATGTCGGATCACCCATCACCCTCTACCATACTGGCCAAAATTTACTTACCTGTATTGGAATTACCCCCTCTGAAACCTACTTCCTTTATGGCAAACAAAACATCCTTGGCTGATGTAAAGTTTTTCAAGTAAAATTCTATTTTGGGGTGTTCACTATAATTAAAAAAAAGAAGTTAACCAGGGAGTATCAGGCAAAATAAGCAACATTAGATGCCTAAAAACCTTTTAAATCAGACAACACCCAAGTTCTGTTTTTAGTCGTACAGAATCTAGTCAATTACACTATTGCATACTTACTTGAATTACTAGGTGTGTTTCAGAAATGCAACATATAATTGCTAGAGTTTATTAGATCCTGAGAAATATGTGTATATAATATATATATATATATATATATATATATATATATATATATATAATTATATAATGTATAATCACATTTCATGTCAGAGGTACAAATTATTATCCTGATTATATAAATGAAACAGGCTCAGAGCACCCAGATCAGTGATGGCAAACCTTTTGGAGCTTGCAGTGGTGAGTGGCTAGTGTGTACCATATGTTTACTGCCACTGACCTAGGTAATCTGCCCAATAAAACATAGCTGGATTGTACAGTCAGGTTGTATGACTCCAAAGCCTATGGCTAATCAATATAGCACCTGAAATCCACCTTGGCCCAGGAACTCCTGGGTAGTGGACGGCTGTGGAGTTAGTCACAAGGTACCAAGGAAGAAGCTGGTTGTATGACTAGGTGTGCTATATAACGAGGGGCCTAGATATTCTCAGCACCCTGAGTTTATTAACCTGAGGCTCTGGTCAGAAGGGGCAGATTTAATTATACTAAGACTCAAACTATAAAAGTGAAAAAACTTGTAAGGATATGAATTATGTTAAGTTTTTCTTATAACAAATGATATTGAAATTTACCAATTAAGATTATATGTGAGAGATTTAGTATTAGGTGGGTGTGGTGGCATACAACTGAATGTACTCCTAGGTACTTCGGTAACAGATGTAGGAGGACTGCTCAAGTCTAATAGTTCAAGGCCAGCCTGGGCAACATAATTGGACCCTTTAAAAAAGAAAAAATATATGTGTATAAACATGCATTTTTGCATATAACATATATATGAAAATACAGGGGATGTGCCTCATGGGCTGTTAAAATGCACAGCAAAGCTATCATCAAAACAGTATAGAGGGGCCAGGTGTAGTGGTGTACATCTAATCATAGCACTTGGAAGCCTGAGGCAGGAGGCTCTTCATGAGTTGAAGGCCAGCCTGGGCTACATAGCAAAACCTTGTCTCAAAAAACAAACAAAACATGATGCAAAAATTAGCATAAACCCCAGGTGTGGTGTTGTATGCCTGTTATCGCAGCATTTGGGAGGCTAAGACCAGAAGTTTGCTGCAAGTTTGAGGCCAGCCTGAACAACATGAGGAGACCCTGTCCCACACTATAAAGTAGTATGTGACTCGGGGCATGATGGGGCATATCTACAATCCCAACTACTTAGGAGGCCGAGGCAAAAGGATTACAAATTCAAGGCTAGTCTGGCAACTCTGTGAAACCCCATTCAAAAAGAAAAGAATTAGCATATGGATCAAAGAAACAGACCTAACCAAACTTGTGTGTAAAAATGCTATTACAGGGCTGGGGATATAGTGCCAGTGTACAATACCTTCCTAGCATGCTTGAGGCCTTGGGGTCAATCCCTAGCATTACACACACAAAACAATGGAATAAGGTGAGGGATAGTTAAAATATGTAAAAGAAAACCCCAAAATTAAACAGTCACCTCACACCCCCAAATTAAACAACAACTACAAAAAAATCTTCTTAAGAGCAGAGCTGGCCAGCCAGATACTTCAGTGGACTATAAAGCACCTGCTTAAGCAGGCCAGCCCTGCCCCTGGGGCATGCCGAGACTGCAACTGTGACTGGGTGGTACCTATAATCCCAACACTTGGGAGGCTGAAAACTGGAGGATCACTCAGTCCAATCTGTGTATTGAGACCTGGTACTGAAAAAAAAAAAAAAAAAAAGTAGCAGAACCAAGGAGGGGGAGAGAGCTCAGCAGGATAAGCACCTGCCTGGCAAATGCAAGGAGTTTGATCCCTGGTACCACAAAACAAAATACCAGCAGAACCAATTGTGAAACACAACAAATGAAATATAAAATAGTGTTTATAGTAGTTCTGGTGACCTTTTGTATACTGTTGATAGTAATTTAAAACTAGCTCATCTATCCAAAAAGCCATTTAGTTAATTCAGATGCTTTAAAACTGTCAGAGCTTCATAATATACAGGTTGCTAGCTAATGAAATAATCAGAGATGGCATATAGTATATCATAGCATACTATGTAATGGTGAAAAAGCAATAGAGGACTGGTTAAATAACCGTGCAAAGGAATACACGAAATGTCACTTTTTTGATGAGTACTTGTGATGAGAAAATGCTCAAAATACTGAGGGATGAGAGAAGAGACAGCCTGCTGAAAGGAGAACTGTGGCAGGATGGACAGGAACAGACATCACTGCTGCTTCCTCAGAAAGAGACACTGGGAACCAAGCAGCGAAGACGTGAAGGACTATGTAAGCAACAGGACCTCCGCATCCACCTCCTCGCTTCATATAAACAGCAGAGGAGTCTCCAAGTCCTTTCATTCCAGAAGGAAGCACTCAGATCTACTCAGTCTGTCCAGGCACTGTTTTGTGCTACTGGAGATCCAACCCAGTGCCCCTGCCCGGGTAGCCTTCAATCTTGAATTTATAGTTTAGAAATACTCCTTGTCCACAACTCAGCATGACTGTACTGAACCAAAATCAATCTACCATATTGGTAATTTGTCATTCAAGACGTCAAACACCTCTTGTTTTAACAAAGTTGGTACCTGGCTTGCACAAGGCCCACATGTGGTCCTTCTGTTCCAATTCCCAACATCAGTGCCACCTTGCCAACAAAATTCTTCTGTAAGTTAAAGCGGCGCTGCCCAATATTAAAGCTTCCATCAATTAGAAAAGCAATGTCTGCTTTACAGTCTGTGAATATCAAACAAGTCCTCTCATTAGCTGGCTCAGATAGACACACTGGAATGCTAGTTTCACAAAGGGATCTCTCATTCTTACCTTTATTGCCAGCTTTCTTCTCAGGTGTTTTCTTTAGTCGTTTGCCTGAAACAAAAGCAGCTCTTGGAATTAGCAGTAGACAGACCTTTTTTTTCCCCCAGTACTGGGAATTGAATCCAGGCCCTGGGGCATGCTAGGCAAGTGCTCTACCCCTAAGAGAGATCCCTACTTTTTCAAAACATTTTGAAACTGCCTTTCTGCCCAGGCTGCCTAGAACTTGTGATCTTCCTGTCTCAGCCTCTCACGTAGCTGGGATGACAGGAGAGGAGCACTGGACCTAGGAATATCTAGATACAGCTAGGAATATCAATCTTTTATTTCCCCTCCAGTATTGAGGATTAAATCCAGGGCCTTTGCAGTGAGCCACACGCTAGTCCTTGAGAAAAAGTCCTGCTAAGTTGCTAGAATGCCTAGGCTGGACTAAAAACTTGAGACTTCCTGCCTCAGCCCCTCATAGTGCACGGATACAGAAAAGCATCAGAACCGTCACTCTTGAAAATATATATATTTTTAATTTCCTCATTATATTCTGGACTTGGGAAGCAATGCCCCAACAAAGAAAGGACATGGGCCAATAGAAGACATGGGCCTACATATCTGGTATATCTCTGACCTAAGACTTTAAAATTCCAAACTCAAAATTGATGCAGGATTGGGAACTTGGCGCCTAAAATTCTTAACTTCTTTGCTTTTAAAATGGCCAGTAGTTACTCAGGAGGCTGAGGCAGGAGGATCGCAACTTAGAAGGCAGCCTGAGGAACTTAAGACTGTCTTAAAATGAATTAAAAGGTCTGGGGATGTAGCTTAGTGCTCCCTGGTTTTATTTATTTTTTTTTAATTTTTTTATTTATTTGGTTATTAATTTATTTTGTGTGTGTGTGGCCAGCTCAGCCCACCAGAGGGCGGGGTTGGCTGGCATGTGGTGCTGGGGGATTGAACCGCGGTCCCTGTGCTTTGCTTAGCTTAGCTTGTTCTAGGTAGGTGCTTTAGACCACTGAGCCATCTCACCAGCCCTGCTCCCTGGTTTTAAACCCCAGGTTTTAAACACACTCTTTAAAAAGGGGATCCCTTGGGACTGGTGAGATAGCTCAGTGGTCTAAAGCACCTACTTAGAACAAGCTTAGCAAAGCACAGGGACGGCGGTTCAATCCCCCAGCACCACATGCCAGCCAGCCCTGCCCCCTGGTGGGCTGAGCTGGCCACACACACACACACACACACACACAAATAAAAAAAATAAAAAGGGGATCCCTGGCTATTTCTTACAGCAGACATACACCAGTGCTTTTATTCATAGGTCAGTGCAGTAATTAAGGGAGTTTAGTGAAACAAAAGAAACAGTAGAAAGTTCATACTCTTTTACTTTGGCAAATTCTTAGGCATGTTTTGCTAAGTCAGGTAGGACTTGAGGTGAATAACTGAGGGCATAGCTTATAGACAAAAACATAAGCAATTTGACATATTGAATATTTGAATAAATTTGAATATTTCTAGCTGGGTATGGTGGTGCACACACGTAATCCTAGCACTTGGGAGGGTGAAGAAGCTAGGATCATCTTGAGTTTGAGGCCAGCCTGGGCTATCCAGTGAGACCATGTCTCAAAAAAAAAAAAAAAATAATATATATATATATATATATATATATTTCTGTGCATAATGTATCAATAAACATAAGATTTTTATTTACTTTATTTCTTTTTGAGTTGCTTAATCTTGTCAACTTGACTGGATTGACAAGATTAAGCAAAATCAGTAAAGCACACTTTTGGATGGGTCTGTTGGGTGTTTTCAGAAAATAATTGGCACATGGGACAGTAAACTAAGGAGGGAGGCTTACTCAGACCATGGGCAAAGCTGTGCATTTGATTTTGTTTTTTTCTGTATTTTAGGGAAGGGTCTACAGGGTGTTCATGGTCTCACTACTAGATTGGACTCGTGATCCGCCTGATTACAGCCTCCCAAGAGTTGGGATTGTAGGCTTGCATGACCACGCCCAGTCTAAAGCTGTTCACTTGAGTGGGGGCCAAGTGGAACAAAAGTGGGAGGAGAAAGCCATCAGGCCAAGCTTTAGCTCGCTCTCTGCTTCCTGAGTGCCCGGAGGAAGCAGCTTTCCTTCACCATGCTCTTCTACCGTGATGCTTTGCCTTCAACACAGGCTTAAAAGCAACGGAACCAGCATGGCCCCAAACCTATGAACCCCTGGGTCAACATAATTCTGTTCTCCTTTGAAAGTTTTTTCATCAGATATTTTGCCAAATTTTTAAGGGAAAGCTTCTATCAATAACATATTCCTTTATAATTTCCAAATGCTGTGCTGTGCAACCAGGAGACACACAGATTCCATGTTCCATACCTGTTAGTGGACGTGCTGTGGACACTGCCTGTCCCGTGGCTTCTTGGGTACTACTTTTGCCTTCTGTTAAAATAAAGATAAGTCTATTTTTTCCTCTTCCTTCTTCATCATCAAGGCATTATGAATCTAATTTAGGGTTTGGATAATAAATGTAATAGGGTAATGGTGATAATCAGTAGAAACATTGTGCTGCATGTTAGTTTCAGAGAACCCAAATGGAATCTCATCTATTATAATTAAAAGGATCATCCAAAATGAATTCATTAGTTTTGCAGTTTAGTGTTACTTGGTAAGCGTCCAGGCATTCTGACTACAGGCCATTTCAGTTTCTACTGCTACCGTCTCACAGCAAATTGTTCTTTCTCTAGTCACCTAAGTTCGGCTTGTGTGATGTGACCCTTCTGATTTCCTGGCTGTACCCACAGTTGACCTCTTCCTGATCACAGGTTTTCCCATCAGATTCAAAATGTTTAGCCAAAGAAAGCAAAAAGTTTTGTTTTATTTTGTTTTTTAAAGAAGTTTAGGGCAGGGGTAGTATCTACCAAAAGTTTGAACAGTAAAATTGTACTTACTAGTCACTGTGAAAGAAGTAGACCATCTGGACAGCGCTTGAGACTGGATGCCATTGGCATCCACCGAGGAATAGTTTTCTCGACCCGGTAGGCTGTACACTCGCACAGGTCCCCCCAAGGTGCTGATCACCCCCCTGAAACATAAGAATAACAGCTGAGGCACTAGCTACACTTTCCAGGGCATCCAAATGACTTACAGTGCTGCTGCGCACACACTGCTCTTTTTAGTCAAGGAAATAGTTCAGCTGGGAAGTCACCTGAGCCTAACGCCAGCCTTTTCAAAACTTGCCCACATAGGACAAAATCTGCTTGGGAAATGATTTTGTGCCATCAAATTTCTTAAGCATTGATAAGGATACAAATGTACTATTAATGTGTTCCCTACAACTCAGAAATTCATAAATTAATAAGAGGTTCCAAACAATTGGGTCTCTAAGATACTCCACAGATCACATTTTTTAAATGATGTATTTATTTTATTCATTTGGTTCAGGGTCTTGCAATGCAGCTCACACTCTTAGTGTTCCTCCTCTCTGAGCCTCCCCAGTGCTGGGATTACAGACATGTGCCACCACGCCTGGTTTGGGGACCAGCACAGCATGTGGTACTGGGGATTAAACCAGGTCCTTGCGCTTGCCAGGTAGGCGCTTAGACTGCCAAGCTATCTCCCCAGCCCAGGATTGCTTTTTTTTTTTTTAAATCTCACACTGGCCATTCCACTGCAGGACAGCATGGTACTGGCTAGCAGTCGTGACTTGGGCAAGATACTTCTCGACTCTCAGTTCAGTTTCCTGATCTCTAAAGTGTTAATATTGTACCTACCTTGCAGAATTATGGCGGAAGTTAAGAAAACAGCTGGCACACAGGAAAAACAAAACCCGTACATAATCTATGAAATAATCAGGGATGTTTCAGAAACACAGGAATCTAACCACCAAAATGTAATGCAAGCTGTCCTCTGTCAGAAACCTTCCCTTGAGTGCTTGATGTTTCAAGAATACCCAGGAAAACTCTGAAACTAAATCCGTTTTGTATGGCCACAACTGGCACCAAAAGAAGAGGGGAGGAAGGTGTCCAGGAGGCTTAAAGCGGGAAAATAAATAATTAGGCTTGCATCTTCCCCTCTCCCCAGCTGTCTCTGTGCTTACCTGTGCACAGCCGCACCACATATGCTGGATACAGAAGCATAAACTATGTTCCCAAACACTGAGAATTCCTCAAGAGGGCAGCCTCCTGGGCAGAGGACATCTGCTTTCTCTTTCCTGATGTCCAAGCCTCTGGTAAAGCACGTGATGGCAATGGGAACTGAAGAGAAAGGGGGGAATGTAAGAGCACCCTTAGGCTATCTTAGGGGAGTAGTGGAGAAGCGAGAGAAGGAAATTTGAGTTTTACTCCCCAATTTCTACACTTTTACCAAGAATATGGATTTAGGCTCCATTCCACACCATTCCAGGTTTCAGTGACCCAAATGCTTGTTTTCCAATTTAACTTAGTCTCCAGCTACCACAGAAATCTAAGGCCAGAATTTTTTTAGTTCTAGCTGTTTGAAAGCACCTAAAAAGATGCTTTCAAATCAGACCTCGAAATCAGACCTCGAAAATCACGTTAGTCACTGAACATTTATTCATTCCAGAAATGTAAAAATCTCAACTCTGATAAAACCGCGTATATAGTTGAATGAGATAAAAAATAGTAAATTTGAATTGAGCTTTTATGTAACATTTTCATAGGAATGTGAAAATCTGAGTTATCCCTCCTTTCAGGGCCATTTGTCTCAGTTATCCTATAAATGCAGAGCCTTAAAAATCACATGTTCACTTAAGCAAACCAGTACAAAGATCCTCAAACCACAGAATGTTATTTAGCTCAATTGTTCATTTTACAGACAAGGAAATTAAGCCATGGGGTTAATTTACCCAAGGAACATTTTACAGCTCCCAGAGGACAGAACACAACGAAGTTATTCCCATCAGAATGGAGCATTTTTATCTTAATTGAACCTGATTATTTCTGCTCCAGATCTGTCCAAAGAGATATATCAAGTACTGAACGCACTTCCAGAAAGCACTGTTAACACACTCAAGTTTTACACAGTCATCCTGACAAATAATCAAAAATTGGGCTAAAAAGATGCTCGGTAGAAGCAAGTCCTTGGCAACATGTAACAAGATAACATAATACAAAACACTGTCAATGTACTGCAAATATGAATTTGAGACTGACGATATTAAATATCATTTTTCGAAAAGCAAGAAAATGTGGTCATTCAAAACTACAAACAAACTCATTTTTTCTAAGAGGAATACTGTCTGGTCACTGCCCAAGTAAGAAGCTTACCTCTAACAAATATACTTTGGCGTGGACTGATTCCTTAATTCAGACTTTCTAGAGAACCAG